CACAGAGTAAATTATGAGCTTCATCATAAGTAATTGAGAAACTTTAAAAAGGCATACTATATAATCTAACTTAATAAATCTTAAGTTCACCATAATCTTGGCATTGCTTTCGTGATCTCTAATATTTTTTTTAAATAATTAAGATATTCTAATATTATTAAATAAAAAATATACAATACAATTAGCTTTCATCATTTATCTGACTCACAATATGAATATTAATTTTAACTGTTAATTTAATATTTTCACTATCATAATTGAAATTTATAATCAAATAAATTTTTCTTTTTAATTCTAATATCAATGAATCTTAATTATTAAAGTGATCAAATTTTTCCTATGATAGAAAATTAAAATTTTTCATATGAATTTATTATACTTTTAGGACAATCTCAATTTTCTCGAGTTTCGATTATGTAGACAGAGATTTCGTCTGTGCTTTAATTGTTATGCAGCAATCAAAATAATAATAAAAGTAAAAAGATTTTTCAAGTAAAAATATAATCAGTAAGAAATCAAATTTTTAGCTTGAAAACTTCATTTTTTAATTTATCACTCCAAAAAGTAATAATTGGTTATTCAAAAATTGATTTACACCAATTTTAAATCTTTAGATCAAATTTTATAGAATGCATGATTTATAACAATTATTAAAGAAGTAAATAAGTTAATTTTTTTGCATTCAAGTATATGATTTGATAATGTGCTATGTAAAATGAATATTAGAAATAAGTATTTTTATATATATACTACATACGAAAAATTTGCTAATAATTGAAATAAAATATATCATTAAAATAGATTAATTATTTTTTTTTAATATTCAATAAATGATATCAAATCAATTAACATGTTGATGAACAACCTGTATCCACATTTTCAGCTTTATTTTAAGGTAAATAACAATATGATTTGACTGCATTTTCAAATATATCCCTTAGCTTTTTCCGTTTTTCTTATAATATTTTTTCTTAGTTTTTTTCTAAATAGCTTAAAATAATAAAAGTATCTTCTATTCCACAAATCCAGTATATATCTTTAAATAATCCTGAAGTACTACTTTCTTTTATTAACAGCTCGTCAACTGTTTAACTAAAAGTTGTTTATTTTCTTTATTTTACATTAGGCATTTGCTAATCTCCCAAACAAATAGCTGTCATTTGCACTTCAATTTCTAATTGTTATGGATTTATTGCAAAAAAATTTAGTATTTAATTTAGAATTCTTACTCTTGTATTAAATTTACTCACATTCCTTTAATCAATTGCATGATCTAGGGCAGCATTTATTATTTAAAAGGCATTTTCAATGTAAGGTATTGATCCAATGTTCGAAGTATTTTTAACAATATTTAATACTTTTTCTGAGTTATATTCAATAACGGCATTTTGGTTTATTTAAAGTAAATCTGTAGAGATTTATTACAAAACTTTTAAAAAATTTTAAAGCCTCCAAAATAAAGATTGGTAGTAAGTTATTTTATGTACATTTTCAGGTTTATTAAATTCAAGTAATAATACTTATATTTAATTTCTATCTTGATGAATCAAAATATTTCGATCTTCTTTTATAAAGTTCAATTATGTTTCTTATTCATCTTTATCTTTTATTGCCTTAGCATAATCTTGTAATAACTCTTATTTAAATTTTTTAACATTTTGTAATATTTAATTCAGTTAATTGTTTTAAACAATTTAAATTTAATGCTTTATTGTTTGAGTGATAGGGATTGACAAAATAGGGCTGATTTCATTTTTAATATCTTAAATTTTTTTTTCATAATTTTGCACTATTTAGATTAAAGTTGAGTTTACAGTAGGTAGATTTTAAACTATTCTTTTAGATTCCAATATTTACTCTACTAATCCTTTTAGGATATCAATTTAAGTTTTTAGGTAATAAATATTTTTTTCACTTAAAAGTAGTTTCTTAATTTCAGATAAACTTAAACTTTGTAAGGAGTTATCTGCTTTTTGCAAATATTCTAGAGCTTATTGATCCTGGTCAGTTACAAGAAAATAAAAATTACCTAAATTGTATAATATTAACGGATGATTAGGTGAGTGGGATAATGCTTGTAAATAATCGGATAGAAGTTATTCCTTCTAACCAATCTTACTATATAATACGCCTAATATAAAATGTGTAATAATATTCACCTCTATACAAATACCCTGTTGAATCTTTTGGATCAATTTAGATTGCTTAATTATAATTATATAGGGCTTTCTCATTTTGATTAATAACTTGATATAAATAGCCTAATATTTATGTGTAACAATATTCACCTCTATTGCAATAGGCTTTTGCATATTTTGGGTCAATTTGAATTGCTTTATTATAATCAGAAAATGCTTTTTCATTCTCGCCAATACTTTGATATAAATATCCTAAAATATTAAGTGTGATATTATTCACCTCTATTAGTTAAAGCAATAGCATCTTTTTAATCAAGTTGAATGGCTTGATTAAGGTCATTTAATGGTTTTTCTTTCTTCACAAAATTTTTAGATAAATTACCTAATATATATTAAGTTAAAGTACCTCTAATGAAGTAGGCTTTTGTCCATTTTGGATCAAGTAAGATTGCTTTATTGTAATCATTTAATGCTCTCTCATTTTAACCAATACTGTTATATAAATTTCCTAATATAACTATCTGATATTAATTACCTCTATTTACAAAGGCTTTTGCATCTATTGGATTAAGTTTTATTGCTTAATTAAAATCATTTAATGCTTATTCTTTTTCACCAAAACTAGAATATAATAATCCTAATATATTATATTGATTAATATTTACCTCTATTTGTATAGGGTTTTGGATTTTTTGGATCAAGTTGGATTGCTTGATTAAAGTCATATATGGCCCTCTCAATCTCTAAAATACATTTGTAAATATTGCCTAAAATAACAATTTATTAATGATTACCTCTATTTAAATAGGCTTGAGAATATTTTGGATTAAGTTGGATAGCTGAATAATAATCAAATAAGGCTCTCTCAATTTAACCTATAACTTGATATAAAAAGCCTATAATTTAAAGTATTAGTATTCACCTCTATTAATATAGGATAATTCATTATTTGGATCAAATCGGATTGCTTGATTATAGTCATTTAATGCTTTGGATTTATCACCAAGTTTTTCATATAAATTGCCTAATATATTGAAATAAATTGTAGACACCTCTAATAGAATAGGCTTATGCATAATTTGGATTAAGTTGTATAGCTTGATTAAGATCATTTAATGCTTTGGATTTATCACCAATATTTTCATATAATTTGCCTAATATATTAAGATTAATAGTAGTTGCCTCTATTATAATAGGCTTATGCATAATTTGGATCAAATCGGATTGCTTGATTAAAGTCATTTAATGCTCTGGATTTATCACCAAGTTTTTCATATAAATTGCCTAATATATTAAGATTAATAGTAGAAACCTCTATTAGAATAGGCTTATGCATAATTTGGATTAAGTTGTATAGCTTGATTAAGATCATTTAATGCTTTGGATTTATCACCAATATTTTCATATAATTTGCCTAATATATTAAGATTAATAGTAGTTGCCTCTATTATAATAGGCTTATGCATAATTTGGATCAAATCGGATTGCTTGATTAAAGTCATTTAATGCTCTGGATTTATCACCAAGTTTTTCATATAAATTGCCTAATATATTAAGATTAATAGTAGAAACCTCTATTAGAATAGGCTTATGCATAATTTGGATTAAGTTGTATAGCTTGATTAAGATCATTTAATGCTTTGGATTTATCACCAATATTTTCATATAATTTGCCTAATATATTAAGATTAATAGTAGTTGCCTCTATTATAATAGGCTTATGCATAATTTGGATCAAATCGGATTGCTTGATTAAAGTCATTTAATGCTCTGGATTTATCACCAAGTTTTTCATATAAATTGCCTAATATATTAAGATTAATAGTAGAAACCTCTATTAGAATAGGCTTATGCATAATTTGGATTAAGTTGTATAGCTTGATTAAGATCATTTAATGCTTTGGATTTATCACCAATATTTTCATATAATTTGCCTAATATATTAAGATTAATAGTAGTTGCCTCTATTATAATAGGCTTATGCATAATTTGGATCAAATCGGATTGCTTGATTAAAGTCATTTAATGCTCTGGATTTATCACCAAGTTTTTCATATAAATTGCCTAATATATTAAGATTAATAGTAGAAACCTCTATTAGAATAGGCTTATGCATAATTTGGATTAAGTTGTATAGCTTGATTAAGATCATTTAATGCTTTGGATTTATCACCAATATTTTCATATAATTTGCCTAATATATTAAGATTAATAGTAGTTGCCTCTATTATAATAGGCTTATGCATAATTTGGATCAAATCGGATTGCTTGATTAAAGTCATTTAATGCTTTGGATTTATCACCAAGTTTTTCATATAGGAGACCTAGCATATTAAGTGTAATAGTAGTCACCTCTATTATAATAGGTTTTTGCACCATTTGGATCAAATTATATTGATTGATTATAGTCATTTAATGCTTTAGATTTATCACCAAGTTTATCATAAAAGAGACCTAGCTTATTAAGTTTTATAGTAGTCACCTCGATTATAAAAGGTTATTGCATCATTTGGATCAAGATAGATTGCTTGATTAAAGTCATTTAATGCTTTCTCTTACTCACCAATATAGCTGTATACATTGCCTAATACAGTAAGTTTAATAGTAATTACCCCTATTAGAATAGGCACAGGCATCATTTGAATCAAGATAGATTGCTTGATTATAGTCATTTAATGCTTTCTCTTACTCACCAAGATTTTAATAAAAATTGCCTAATATATTAAGATTATTAGTAGTCACCTCTAAAAAAATAACCTTATGCATTATTTGGATCAAGTTGGATTGCTTGATTATAGTCATTTAATGCTTTCTCTTACTCACAAAGACTATAATAAAAATTGCCTAATATATTAAAATTAAAAGTAGTAACCCCTATTACAATAGGCACAGGCATAGTTTGAATCAAGATAGATTGCTTGATTATAGTCATTTAATGCTTTCTCTTACTCACCAAGATTTTAATAAAAATTGCCTAATATATTAAGATTAATAGTAGTCACCTCTAAAAAAATAGCATTATGCATTATTTGGATCAAGTTGGATTGCTTGATTATAATCATTTAATGCTTTGGATTTATCATCAATTTAACCATATAAATTGCCTGAAATTTAAAGTATATTTAATTTACCTCTGTTAATAAAGGACAATCAATATTTTGGATTTAATTCAATAGCTTAATTGAAATCTCTTAGAGCGTGCTCAGTTTTTTTTTCATCCATATAATAAAGCCCTTATAATATAAATTTTTGTTACCTCTACTCATAAATGCTTAATAACAATTCCCATCTATTTCAATAGCTTGATTGTAATAGTAGAGTGCTTAATGCCGTTCTTTCATATCATCAAAAATACTACCTTTATAATTTATATATATTATTACTACCAATTCTATTATAGGCCATCGAAAAAATTGTATTAATCTCCAAACAGGTCTAGCAATCTTCCAATGCTTCATCAAATAATTATTTTCTCCAATAAATTGTTGCTTAAATTCAAAAATTATATTTAAACCTCTTTAATAATAACTTTCAGCATTATTATTGTTTATGGATATGCTATAATTTATATCTTCCAATGCCTAATCATATAATTTCATTTTTTCGTATAATTCACCTAAATTGATATTTAAAGAATTTAACTTCTTAAAGTGTAGGCTTCTGCAAATTTAGGATTAAGATTTAAAGCATTATTAACTTCTAATAATGCTTCTTCTGTTCTATAATTCATTTTGAACTCCTAAAAACGATTCCATTAAATACTTTTACTTGGCTTCTTGAATAATGCTCTAAAGCATCAGCATTATCATTTTCCTTTGAATAGTTGTTGCTCATTTTTTAGATGTATCCAAATTTTTTTATATTATTATAAAAAATTAAGGGAATATTTTTATTAGGTAATATAACAAAAGAAGTTCAAATCAAATATATTTTCTATATCACTATAATAACATTCAAAATGATAGAAATATTTTTGAAATTGATTCATATATTCAATGAAATCTGTATTATAATACAAATGAACTAAAACATAAAAAAATTTTAGGAGGATGTTAAAAAATTCAATTTGAGAAAAAATTGAAATAAGATTAAAATTCTTTATTTCCTTATTCAAGAATATAAATAGCAATTTAATCTTGAAAACAGAAGAATAAGATCATTTATTATCAAATGATTGATGAAAAAATATTTTTTTAGTAAAATTATATTCCAATTAATGAGTGAATTAAACGTTTTTTATTTTACTACCCAAAAATAAAATAGGACCATAAGCAGAAATTAAATCAGAAGCATTAAAAAAATAAGCATTTAACATTTTAGGAAATTGTTATTATTAAATATAAAAGTCAGTTCTTAAATAGTATAAGAGAATGGAAATTATGCACATGTGGTTACTAATAAGAATGTTGAAATCAAGTTAAAAAATTCTTGTAGATCTTTAAATGGCTAAAAATAATAATGAATTAGATTTACCATTTAACACAAAACTCAACTAATTCAGAATAAGCCTTTTTACATGATATTTTTCTTTGTACAGGTCTTAGTCCATTTAATTAATGCATTAATTAATATCATCTATTGGATCTTATGGACGAAAACATTTTTTTATACTCTGAAATATATATTCTATTTGATTTATAAAAAATCAGATTTATTAGGTTCATCACATTCTTAACAACTATTACGGCATTTTTATTTTTTGTAATTTTGCATAAATCTAAATAGCAAATTTCTAATTATTACATCTATCTTTTTTGTTTATTTAGTGTTTCCTTAATTAATTTTTAATTAATATATGATTATGAATTACTTAATATCAGTTATCATGTAGTAACAGAATTATAAATAATTCCCTTATATTAAAAATTGGACAATTTGAAAAGTCTTTAGCAAGAGAAGGAAAATCTTATTTATATTTATTAATGTTCCTTTTATTTTGAATAGGCTAATCAATCAAATTGAACTTATTTTCTCAAACTAATAAGTAAACTCTTATGAAGATTGATAAATATTTGATATATATAGTCATCCATCTACTGTTAGATATCAATATTCATAATTTTTATTTCAATATCTATCTGCTAAAAAGAAATAATAAAACAACAAGTAAAATTAAGGCTCATAAACTTTTAAAGATTACTTCAATTTGTAAGAAGAATTTTTGGTGAATGATTTATCAACATGTTATTATTGGAAAAAATTGTATTTTTTTACAATAATTAAGTAAAATCAAAGTTTATAGGGAACCTTAATTTAGAATTTTAAAGAAACTGCAGAATTTTTGCTTAATAGAGATTAAAAATTAATATTTACTTTTGGGGTAGTTTAAAAGTTTATTTGAATTAGTAAATTACTCTATAGATAATTCAAATATCGCATAATTTGAATAAGGAATTAAAATTCTTACTTTATCCAGGTTAAATAATGGTATATATAACATAGGGACGAAGAGAATATTAATAATTTTTGGATCAAAAATTACTCAATAATTTAAGAAGATAGAATTATGTTAATTTGAAAGGAAGAAAAAAACTACATGCATATTTATTTTTCTTATAACTGAAGAATTTTTTAATGTAAATAAATTGCAATTCTTTTCGATTCCTAATTATGCTTTCAATTTATTACTCAAGAATTTCTATTTTTATTATTTTTTCTCTAACAAAAAAAAATTGTTATAAAAAAACATATTATCCTTTTTATACTATATATGGATTTATTTAAACTTTTTAATATTTATAAGTTATATAATTTAATACTAAATATATTATCGAGACATTCCCGTGATGAGATTTTATAAAGACTCAAAGCTATTGCTTTTTTGAAGATCTTGATTATGAAAGGAAAAACAACTATTAGAATTAGATGCTTTTTGATATTAAAATAATGTTAATATTCTTCTGCTTTAAAGTTGTATTTAAATACTTTATTTATTCTACACAGAATAATTTAGAATATAGACTATATTTTTTAATTTCTACTTTTAAAGATGATTTAAATTTCATCATTTAATTAATGATGTCATAAAAATATTATCGACTTAATAAATATTTATTGGAAGACAAGATAATTATTGATTATGGAAACAAGTTATGTTTTCATAATATCAAGGTTTTTAGAAGACGAAAATTGAAGAAGAGAAAAGAATAGAATTTTTGTTAAAACAACTTATAAAGGATTGACGTTAAAAGGTTATTATTTGCATTAGATAAATTTACAATTTGTAACAAGTCAGTATCCTCTTGGAGTGGCTTTGAAAAATATTTCTATAAACTTATACAGAGAGCTAAGTCAAAATATTAGAATGAGAACAAAATTTGAGATTTACACCCAAAAAAACTCCAAATCAAGATTTGAACATTGATTTTTATAATGTTAACTTTTGAGCAAAGGACAAGATTGGATAACTAATTATTTACCATTGAAGATGTAATTTTCGATGCAATTAATTGACTTTATATGATAGTATATGTTTAAGTTCAATAAAAATAATTAATTACATTTACGATGTTAAATTTTTAACAGGCTTAAAACTTGAATAATAGAAGGGTGAATCGAAAAATTTCTAATAAAACAAAAAGAAAATAAGGAAATAAAATAATATGTTCAATTAAAATTTCATAATAAAAATGCTTATCTAATCAGAAATCTCTAATTTGACAGGATTAGCGAGGAACTAAAATTTATTATGGAGAACAGTAAATACCCTTTAGTATTGAGTTGTAAACTTAATTTTATCTTTAATAAATTCACATTGATTGATGGTAAAAAAATGTTCAAACGAAAGAAATCTAAGCAATTAGAGCTATATCCTTAATCAAAAAAAAAATAAAATTAATATTTCTATCTCTAATTATCTAATTAATTTAATAAAAATATTGCAAATAATAGGATTTATTATTAAATATGTCATATATGATGAATCCTTTGTGTGTTATTTAATATTTGAACATTTATTGCAGAATAGTTGGTTTTGTTAATTTGTTTTATTTTTTTAATTAAATAAATACATTTCCGATAAAT